TGCTGCTCCACTCAAATATTGCAGAGGCACAGTTTTTCAAAAGAATTGAACACTCTGCTAATCTTGACTCCATGGCCATGGCTGCATCATCTATTCGAGGAACATTTTCCCACAGATGTGTATAAATTGAAGTAAATGAACTATCTTCTTTTATTTTCTTCAGACTGTATAACAATTTATCATTATCCCCACAATGGATTTCCTTTGGCCAATGATCCTGCAAAAAATGTGAGAGAATAAAACTTAAATCATTTTTAATAAATTTAAATTAGCAGAGTTCAAAAATCAATGAGCTAGAATTAAGATTTATTTCCAGTGTTATTTTTCATTAATGTGTTTTTTAAAAATTTATGAAACAACCATAAATTGTTGAAGTTTCAAATGCTTTACAAAAATCTTTTTTTCTGAGTCATTTTAAAATAAGCTGCTTATTTGACTAATGCCCTCCTCATCCTTGAATACTTTAGCATTTATTTCCTAAAAACAGAAACATTTTCCTACAGAACCAAAATATAACCATCACAATCAGGAAATTGGTATTGCTACATTGTTCTTATCTAATCCTCTGGCTTTACTCAAGTTTCATCAGCTACACCAATCATGCTCTTTATAGCAAAAGCTCCTCTATGTAATTAAAACCATGAGTTCATACTGATACCACTAAATTCCAATTTCAATTATCTAGTTTTCTCTCGTTCCATATTATAATTACCAGCTCCAACAGTGAAAAACCTAGTTGCCATTCTCTTTAGTATATGTACTTATTTGATCAATGTTTTCAAGCAACCCATCTCTCCTAACCACTGCCAGACTCTTCTCTGCTTGGATGCCCTTCTCATCCTGCTTAGGCTCTGACACCCAATGCCAGGCTGCCTATTCTTCAGGGACACGCCCCTGGCCCTTGACTTGAGCTCTGACTTCCCATAGGATGCCACAGCCTACTTCTCCACTTCCCTGAACCACCTCCTCATCCCTGGCCATACGCAAATACCATCCTCATCCCAGCATGTGTGGTGTCACATGGTTACCTTCCCCACCATGGTTAAGTTCAGGAAGTCTGCTCTGGGCAACCACAGCAGCACATACTCCTCCCCCCTGCCAATGTAGATGCTGCCTTATTTTGGCCGCCAAATGGCTTTAGGACTACATTGTTCAGGAAGGGAAGAAGAAGGAAAGGGATGAAAAGAAAGGGAAATGAAGGGAAAGAGAATCACAACATTAATATTTATCAATCTAAATCCAGTATTTTTTAATATAATAGTTTAATAACAAAACAAAGAAAGATGCTGACGTAATTAAAGGTTTGTGAATAAGAGAATGCTTTCTGAAATAGTAGGAAACTTTCACAGGATGAAACTCTTTAAAAGGAACTTGGGTAAGATATTCTGGGAATTTAGCTCAACAGGAATACAGTTCAAGTCTGCAGATGAGGAATTTTAAACCTGCCTTGTTCTATTCCACTTCCATATTTCCTCCTTTAAATGTTTCCTAAACCCATTGTGCTCTTAAATGTAACAGGTACCTGAATAATACTCAACTTTTAATGCTGGAAAACTTTCTTAGAGGGATCTAGGTCCCTCTGCCATTTTGCAAAAGAAGAATATTACTTAGATACATAAGTGCCCTCTCTCAAATTCTACAAACATTTATCTTGAACAAAACACATGACCACCTGGGGAAGTTGTCCAGCATTAAAACCTGGAAATCTCAGAAAAATAAGATATGATCACAGGATTCAATCCCTGGAGCCAAACATTGTCAAATTAGAATGACAGCCAGATATTAAACATGTTATGGGTCATGTGGTGCTATTGTTATGGGAGCTGGAAAAGTGGGAAGAGGCTAAAATAGAAATGAATTTCAAAAGATTTTACAATATGCACAGAGCTTTATAAAAACGTATCCTTTATGTTAGACTTGAGGTATCATAATTCTTGTTCAACGTATTGAACTTCAAGATATTGAATAAAATATCCTGAAATTCTACCAGCCTGATTAGACTGTTTTCTCTACTTTAAACAGCGAGATCCATGTCATTAGTCTATAAATGATAAAAATTAAGATGCTTATCCTTTTAATGCTTATCTCTTGCAATTAATTTTCTAAAATGAATGCCTTAGTCATAATCAGAAAAAAATAAGTAATTTTGAAATTTAAAAAATTACATTTAAGGAGATGGATGGATGAGTGGTAGCACTTAAAGTCTTTATAGCTTTAACATATAATTTTAGAATGTATTTTTGAAGACTAAGTTTCTAAAAGTAATTCAAGCCTATTATAGTTCTAATCAAATTCAGGGTTTTGTTTTTTTTTATTGACAAAGTAATTCTATAGGCAATCAAAAAGAATTGTTATTTTTCCCTAAAGAAAAAGGACTGATA